GAATGCCTTTTTATTTTATAGTTTTACAGTATCTTCCACAACAGGATCCTGAGCTGAGCTCCCTGGTGCAACTCCAGCCTCCAACAAGCTACACACCAAGGATTTCATCCTTTGTGTTCCTCATCTCCTACCTAAAGAAATTTTTCCTCAATTTTCTGTAACTCATATTACAGCTTACTGATCAAAGTACACATAACAAGAGAGCAGATAAGTCCACTCTTCCTGAAAAAATGACCTCTCCATTTCTTACAGTACTCTGACCAGAAAGAAATAGGAGTGATGTCTATCACAGCTTCTAGATTTGACCTTAGCACTTCCGTTATTCATACCTTCATTATGACCTCTACAGAAACAATGAATAACCCATTTTCATATCCTAGGCAATGCATTTTCTAATATATATTTCATATCTATGGACCAGACAAATCCTACAGAACATGTAATACATGTGTGCATCATTCCCTTTTAGGTTTCATATGTAGCTTCTTGATGGATCCTTTGATGAAGTTTTTCTCAAAGTCTGACTCTTCAGCATTTTCCTTACAGTAAAAAGCCCATTATGTTGTTAGATATGATACAAAGTATAACATGAAAAAACCCTACCAGGCTAGACTTAGAAACATGTCTTGAATGGAGATTAAGACAAAATGCATACAACAGATGGCAATAGACAGTGATCGTTCACTTTTATTCATGTCCAGTCCTTTGGTAATCAGTTGCTTGATGTGCAGCAACTCGAGGTTACATTTGGACTATCATGTTTAACAGCAACCTGTATTCTCTCGTGACATGGTGGCTAAATATTGCTGCAAACTCTACCTCAAAGCAGTGATTGTTATTCTGTTTAGTTGGATAGAGGTGGGAAATGTTATGAATTATGAAATTAAAAAAAAAATGGTGTGGAGAAATATGTCAAAACCTCTCAATTATATTGAAGCATGTTTGTCACAGGTCACATAATTTTTTTTTGTTTTGCTTTGGTGTGTTGTTTTTTTTTTTGTTTTTTTTTTTTTTTTTTCCCCCACACTTGATAAATTTCATGTGCACAAACATGTGCAAGTCAAAGCCTTGCAAAAATTGCTCTGTCTCCAGGGGTCAAAATACTTTGCGATAGACTGGGACTAGGACAAGAGAGATGAGTCTGCACCTGGAATCGCAGAGCACCTATTGAAATCTCAGCCCACTCCTCTTCTTCAAAGGACTCTGGTGCACTGATGACAATGTTGGCACGGAAACGTTGGATCAATTCCTCCAATTCCAATGGCTCTTCCAACCTGTCTCACAGAGTTGACAGAGAAAAAGAAAAAATAAGGTTTATTAACTAGTTCTGTGCTAGATGTTTGTGCCCTAAGAATCTAGTGGCTAATATGATTCACCAAATTTTTCTCCAGAATAACCTGGATCAAGTTTTTTAGCCTTTGTAAGGCTATGAGAATGGCACAAGGTATTTAACTATAATTTGTAATCCTTTGACTATAATTTGTAATCCTCTAGGTGACTTTTTCAGAGTTGTAACCTGGAACTGTAGGTATGAAAGCAAGCATGTAGACAGGCGATTGTGAACGATGCATATGAGAAAATTCCTTATTACTTATCATATGTAAGGCTAATGGTAACAAATGAAAAGATCTTTTGAGTTAGCAATCATTTGACTTAAGTGCTTCAAAAAAGAAGGCAAATAGAAACTTCTTTTGCAAAAGGGACAAAACCAGCAGACGCTGAAGGTGAAAAAGGCCAGTAAAGGCATTTTACGAGAGAATTATTCCTCATATTATCTGCCTTTAGGATGCAGCAGATGATTGCACCAAATGATAGGTGTTTTGAAAAAAAATTAATCTCTGTGTGGCAATATCTCCACCTCTTTACAAGCATTTGAACTGCCAGAGTGTAGATTTGTGTCAGTTCGGAGAACATATATGAGGCAGACAGAGCAGCAGACTGCATACAAATATCAGAAATCTGGCTGCACCTTTGAATTGTCATTCTTCACTCTTCTTCTAAAGGAAAACCCGACCAGTATCAGAAAAAAAGACAGTCCTAAAATTTGCAAGAGAGTTCTCTCAGCACCATTGTTAGTGGGTAAGAGCATTTCTTTTTACATTAGCTATTATGGACATGAAAAATTTTTGATACTCCATCAGCTGTGGCTTGACAGCTTTGGGATATGACATCCTACAGCACAGGCAGAAACCTGGGTAAGTAGCGAAGACAGAATTTTCTGTTCTGGAAAAAGAATATTTAAAAGAAATAAAGACATACAGTTTAAAATGTGTTTTAATTAGAATGAGAAAAAACATGCAAAATCAAAGTACAGGGAAAACTGTTCATATCAAGCAGTCTTGGCAGAAGAGGCCTGTTAGGTGAAAAAAAGACTTTGATTTTATTTAAAATAGTCTGGATGATCTTCTTTAGCAGACAAATGTGCATAAGGATAAACCGCCTGTGCAGACTTTCAGTCAAACCACACAAGCCTGGCTACACCAAGCCTTTGCTGTTCACAAGTTCTCCAGCAGCCTGGGGGTAGAAAGTGGGGTGGGAAGCTGAAGGGCTACAGGTTTTCCCTTGAGATCCCACAAGCAATCTTGGCTGAGACACAATTTGTAATGATTGCAGGAGATAGGAGCCAACAGAAGGTGTAGACTATGCTGATGCTCAAACAGGCAAGGAGGAAAATAGCAGGTTGTCATGAACAAGTTCAGTTACGCTGTTGTGCTTTCTAGCTTTGCTGTGAGCTCCTGGAGCTTGAGCGCTGTGTAGCTTCTAGTTTTGAATGCCTTTTGTGCATATAAGTCCCTGCCAACCCAGCTGGTACTGGTGGGAACATCAAAAGCCCCAGCAACCTCAGAGCTCGGCCTGCAGCATCCTAAGCCAGCTGCTGAAAACTACTTTGAGTTTCTACCATTTTATCTCTTGCTGCTGATCCTCAAAGACTGCAGTGCCCCTGCTCCTAGTCTCTCTGCCTTCAACCTGCTCAGGCTCACCTCCAAAATACCTCACTCCTCTTGCGCCTATCCCCAGCCCTCAGAACTGCTTCTAATTACTTGGCAGCATGTATCTGAGTAAATTCCCATTATTTGCCCTCCCTCAAAATGTGCATTGGTTGGATGGAGTGACAGGCACCTTCATCCTGCAAATCTCAAGGATCTGTTGTGAAAATCAGTGTAATTTGCCAAAGCCAGCCTGGGTACTTTGGGCTTTACACAGTAGTGGGCCCTGCAATGCAGAATGCATTACATATATTTAACAGGTAAACTTGAGAATAAATATTTGCATCTTCAGGCGAGTATTTCTAACAAGAACATTTGAGCATAAGGCCAGACCATGGGGATTTTCATGGAGGTGACCTGTAACAGCAACACCAGAGACAAGGATGTCTCCATGTACATGTAGCTCTCTAACAGTATGTTAGATTCTAATTTTTAATTAAACTGCTGTTTCTGTTTTAGATCACCTCTCAAGAGCCAAGTGCAAACCGGAAGATTAATTTTTCCTTACAGAAGATACAAACAAAGAGAAATTATTAAAACTCGACTGAAATTGTTTTATGAATCTTAGCAGGTTTCCATTAAACAAAAACAAACCCGCATGCCAAGAAGTTAAATAATACTTTCTAAAAAAGAAAAACATTTAATAAAGACCCATATGTGCAGATTCTTGAAAGTACATTGCACAGTTCAGTATCTGGAAAGTTCGCACACTATGATTTAGTAACAGCGCAGAATGAGGATGCTGTATATCTGTGTTGAATTCATTTCCCCAGCACCCTGAGAAAGCACTGCATCGCAAAATAGGGAGGAGTTTTCCAACCCGTGCTGCAGAGTGGGAAGCAAAATGCCTCTCAGGCACCGTGGCAGCTCCAGTCACATCTGGAGTTTACTTTGAGGAAAAGGAGATTACAAGCCTAGTTGTACTGGAAGATATTAGGTGTAAAATCAGTGAATCACCTGACATTGCACATTTTACCAAAGATCCCTGTCCTCCTTCATCCTCACTTGCTGCTCCCTTTGGTGCCTTACTCTTCTTCTTTGCACTCAGGTCCCATGTCTGGAAGGTTCCTCACTGAGTCTCACCAGGGAAAAAGCCCAGTCTGACTAAGGGATGCCTGCAAGTGTTCTCCCAAGGAGAAGTAACCCAGCCAATCAAGCCTCAAAAGAAGGCATTAACTATCACTGAGAAAACGTAGTCAAAACAGCTGAGAGATGGACTGATTCAAACCTTTACCACACATTTTTCCCAGAGGAGCACTGCCATGATATCCTAAAATTGCCCAACTGTCTTCTCCTAAAGAAAGAAAATCCTCAGGTAATGCAAGCTCCAGTGGTCTGTAGTGATGCTTCATTCAGTCAGCAGTTTTAAATCCTGAAGCTATATATATGTATCCTCCTACAGAAATATATATATTCCTCCTCTACTCAAACTAGGAATTTCAATGCAGGGGCCATGTTTGGTGCGTGACTAAGAGGAGAGAAAATGACTCCAAACAAAGGCAGGGAAGTTTGGTGAGACAGAAAAAGGGGGCTCAGAGATAAATGCTGGGGCTGTGGGATGCACAGCTATGATGGAGGCCTTGAGGGCAGATTTTCTATTGAATTTGAGCTTGTTCTAGTTATATTCAAGAAACAACAACTTTCTATTGTCAGTATATGAAAATGTAGTTGGTAATGGTTTCCTCATCTTTGAAATGTGGGTTAGCTCAGTGTTTCATTTGCTGCCTGTCTCCCACTTTTGTACAAGTAAAGCCAAATTCAATTAAGAAATTAAGTGAATCCAGTCCTGCAAGTAGTTTTAAAATATTTATGTTGTGAATGTTTGCTTTAAATCTTAATCCTTCCCATACGAAAGAAATAGTTCAGCAAGTAGCAAGATTTTATATTTCCACCTGCCAGATTATTTATGTTGAGAAAACCTGATTATCCTTGCTCTTCCCACAAATAGAAGTTGGCTGGTTCCCAATAATCTCCTACCACCAAGTCATTTGACAAGAATTTTATTTAAGTTTTCCTAAAGATGAATGTCAGACAGATTATGTTCAAGTATTTAATCCAAATTTTCAATAGTCATATAGGAATGAGTAATTACAGCAGTTTAGTACCTATATGTTTGTTGAACATTGAAAAGTAACTATCTTTACATTTCCAGATAAAACAGTTATATTGGCATCTTATGGCAAGACTCTGGAACCCAAGACGACTGAGAGATATTTGGAGACAGAAGGATCTTACCTTGCAGAAATATATTCTTTCAGCTGCAGTATGCTTGCTACATTTATCAGGAGGTATTGTGCTTCATTCACAAAAGAGAGTGAGATGTTTGTAGCAGATGCCAGACCTAAAAAAAAAAAATCAATCCAACATTTGAAAAAGATCATTAAAAATCAGGAAGATTATACTAGAAATTTCACCTCATCTTTCCTTTGACCTCTTATTCATTCTTATTAAAAAATTATTCATTCAGCTCCAGACACTAAGGAAAGATTCCAAGAATCCCCTCAAACCTGTAAATAATAATGATGCAATGCATTTAGAAACCGAGATAGAGCTGAGATTTTACCAAATTTGTAAAACAATTTACAATAGCAGTATCTATGGATTTTCAAGGCTCTTTCAATTTGATCCTTTTTATAATGAAATTTAGTCTAAGAATAAATTCTTTGTTTATAGATTTTTCATGATCATTTGTCAAAATGATCATTGAGTTTCCAGACAAGATTATGGTCGTGATGATAACCCCCGCTCCCAGACTGGTGTATCTGTACATTTTCACCAAATGTAAGAAGTGGAAGGGCAGCATAAACACAGTTTGGTTATAAATGTACCCTTTGAAACCTCCTAGATAATTATTGGACAACTCTTTCACCCTTTATTATGGCAGTTATATACTGAGTATGAATATCATGAGCCTGATGATCACTAAGTGAGGAATCACAAACATTTTTAGGAATGACAACATACCTTTCGTATTTTTCTGATGAGACTTGTTTTTCATGTCTGAACTTTGTCTTATCAAGCGACACGGACGACCAAGAAACATAGAGAACCAGCCGGCAATTCTTTCTCCACAGTCATATGTTTTTACCCTATTATGAGAAAAGAGAGACTTAACAAAATTCGAGTGCCCAAACATTAATTTGCAAAACTGAGGACAAATTGTGAGATATTTATTGTGCTTCTTTCAATATAAAATACAGACTCTGTATTGTCTAATGAGTGTCTGATGCAAAGTTCTGCATAATTTTATCTCCTCATTTCCTCAACTTTAGTCTGTTACTCTTGAAGTTAACATTCATGAGATCTAATTTAATTTTATACAGAAAATTACTGTGGAATAAAGGGTTAAATAATCATAATGCTCAAGACACTGACTGAAGTACAGTAACTGGTAGCCCATATTACAACATTACAATACAGTATTATGAAAAAGTTACTCTCTGGTCAGTGCTTTTTACTAAAACAAAGAGGATTAACCTGAGCTGAATTTCAGATTGCCCCACTGTATGTAATTTTTAATGATCCCATTGGGTACAATGATGTTAATTCCCTAATTGAATTCATGTTAGTATAGACATTGCACATTAAAACATGGCTCTACTAGCAGAGCCTAAGTATCTCTCTACCTAAAGATGATATCCATTACTAGTAAATTGTCTAGTGAATTATGCAAAGCTGGCAACAGATTTGCCTTCTTTACCTGGATGTAATCTCGCCTAGAACAATTCTGAGATCATCTCTTTCAGTTCATGAAGGGCACAGATCAGACCACTGGGTCGTGATCCTCTTTGCCATTAAATTCCTCAGCACTGAGCAATCTTAACTTCAATCTTTTAAAAACTAGGCATCTAGTTTAAGTTAGTTGTCTGGCTTCCCCTCACAGGTAATGAGAAGAGGAAAGCAGTTCCCATCTATATTAGACCCCAGGAGGGGATGACTCTCACTCCAGGAGTCTTTAACTCTATTGACTACAAAAGGAAATTTGACTGACACCTAACTTTAAAATAGCGTAAACAGGCAAGAGGAATGCAAATTCTCATGCTGATCTAAGCAGGATTCTTGTAGCAAGGAAAGTGAAGTAGCAGTGGTCCTATGCTCACCTTGTTGCCCTACCCAGCCAAAGCAGCTGATCTGCATGGAAATCATCTGCTCTGTGAAACAAAACAGCTCTTCACAGCAAAAGATGCTAAACCCTAGGATTGAGAGAGGAAGTAGCTTGGCTTTACAAAGTGCTTTGTAGCTTCAACTGAGTTACACAGGTTGAAAGCCAGCACAAGTCAGATCAAAGAGATTTCATAATCCTGCAGGGATCAGGTGTGCCTTTAGCACCTGTTCTTAATTTTGATTGTGGTGCAGCTCTGCGTCCCTCTCCCCATTCTGAGACTGCACAGATGCCAACCACAGCTACATCTAGCCAGTGATGTCCTAGAACAGCAATGAAACTCTGGTACTACAAGGTGCAGGCACAATGGCAAGAAAGAGGTCAAAAGGTGAGTCTCCACATGAGATTTTGTAGTCTGAGCTGAGTGGTTCTTGTGTCCTTGCTGGTCACTGTGTTTGAGAGAAGGCTGCTAATGAGAACACGTGAATCTCCCATGGCAACAGTACAGGTGAAACAAATTCCCCAAATATTTTTTCCTACACAAACAGAGGTGTTAGGGGTATTTAAATTGCCATTTGACTCTAGCAGCCTGCTGGGGTTTAATACTGTATAAATCAGGAGCAAAATTCTGCCTTCCTTTTTTTATTTGCTTACTATTTTGTGTCACAGTGGCTAAGTCAGAGACACATGGCATTCTTAGTGTTTCATCAAATGTCACTGTGTAGTTTTTGTATTCCAAGACTCCTGTGTTTTCAAATTGCTTTCCCTTATTGTCAGACCATTTTCTGAGCAAGTACCATCATCTCTTCAAGGTCTATTCAGAGTCCTTCTGTTGTAGCTCAACTCTAATAATTTTTTGCTTTTGTTTATTTTTGTGGAGTATTACTTTACATCTGTCAGCATTTGATTTTATTTGGCACATGTCAGGCAATTTATAAAGGAGGGCCTAGTTCTCTCAGATTTTACTTGCTGTTTGCCTTGAGTTCCCCACTCATCATCCTATTATGTCATTTAGCTTCAGTGTGTTACAGCTGGTCCCTCTAGCTAGGTAATTTATAGAACAAGAAACAAGGACAGCTGAAGTCTGAATATTGATCCCAAGGGACATAATATATACATTTATGCACAACAGGCTCAGTTCACCTTGTTTTTAACTACACCTTTGTCTTCTTCTACCACTGACATTCTTCCCTTGATCTCCTTGATATTGTGGCCTGTCAAAGAGCAGGCTGTGTCCCTGCCTATTTCAGTAGAGCACTAACCTTGAGCATTTAGGGTCTTCTACATCACCAATACCTTAACATCACTAGCTTCTACCTGCATCTGTCCACTGTTAGGTGTTATACTAGAAAACCACGTCCCTCCAATGTGAGCAGCACATGCTGATGGACGACCCCTCCTGAGATGAAGGCTAACACTGATGAATTGCTTTACCAGATAAACTTGGGCTCATTAAACTTTTGTGAAAGCTGTGAAATTAAACTTCCTCATGTGACTGCTTGCAGATTCTACATCATGTGCTTTTCTCAGCTATCTCAGTGAAAATTCAGAGCAACCACCTAAGCCAACAGAACCAGATGAAATCACAGCATCAGAGAGCAGAACTAATAAGTGGAAAAATGCCTTCAGTAGGGGTTTCTTTTGAATAAAAGCCTTTTAACAAAGACCTTTGGTCCCACTGCTCACCCAGAAAAGACCCCAGCCCACAAATCATCTCCTGTCCTACTGCAAAGCCCTGGTTTGCTCCTATTTCTCATTTTTTTGGCCCCAGAGGCTTCCCTGCTGAAACATGGGAACCTGGCATGAAGTGTTGTTGGCTCTCTGAGCAGTTTCAGAGCCTCATCAATGTTGTCCGCTCATTCTGCCTTAGTGCCTGTCTTGATTATTTGCTAATCACAGTCCACTCTGCAATTTGTCTTGCATCTCCCCTTTCTTTGTCATTCTGTCCTTTTCTTCCTCCTCAGAACTCTAAGCAGTTTCCCATGAAAATTTCCTATTTCATACATTAAAAATGACAGTCAGTGACATGAAAGACAAGCTACAATAAACACTATGGCAGCAAATTTTATGCATACAGAGAGAAAGGTAACCTAGGCTATTTTACAGCCTGTAATAGATGGGCTAACCATGGGGAGGCTAAGGATGAGTCAACACTAAGGGAAGTGGGACAGATGGTTAAAACAAATGACTCCTGTGTGAATTCCACTACCTGAGGAAACTACAATTCTGAGGAAAAGATCCTCTTTATCATCTGTATAGCTAGTAGAAAAGAAGATCATTTCCTGCATGGCTCCATGAGGAAAATGGCCAGGTCTTCTGCTGGTTTGTTTATGTGCTACCCTCAGAGAGGCAAATGTAGAGGGTTACAAAGAATTAGTATACCTTGTTTAAAAGAAGACATAAATATGTAAGTGGCTCTTTTAGTTGGACTTATCAAGAGACTTGGTGAAAAGAAACATAGTAGATAATGCAAATGTACTTCAGGAAGACACTTGGTACACTGCCATTCAGAAAACTTAGTAGGACTGGGAAGTACTTAGAAAATAAGATGGATAAACACTTCAGTTCACTGATAGGAAATTAATTTATTCCTAATGTTGTATTTCACTGAAGTGGTATGTCTCTTGATTAGAGTTAATGTTATTTCACATATTCACCTGCAATCTTCCCAAGATTGTTAAGGGGACATTGATCAATATGGATGGTCAAAACAAAATCAAAAAGGGTTGTAAATACAAAAAGCTGTTTACAACTTCAGCAGGTCCTAGCAATTTTGAATTTGTGCAGCATGAAATGGGCAAAGTTGCCAGCATCATTACTGTCAAATGAAGGAGCTGGAGTCTTGCTGAGGCCCTCAGCTGGCATTTGGAAGTAGCTGGGGATGCCTTTCCCTTTTTTCAGTCTTGGAGCAAGCGAAAAAAAAGATCTCCCTTATTCAAGTGAGTGCCAAGTCATTGCAGTCTCTTGTACTATCCTTCTGCAGCTTTTTAATTTTTATTATTTTTTACTGTTTTCTACCAGACATGCTAGGCATGCCAAATTACCTATCTAAATCTGTCTTCTCCTGATCCATTAAGTCATTCATTGCTTTCCACCCCCTGGCTCTTTTTTTAAGGACTTCTGTCCCTGCATGTCCATCCGATCATGTCCTGAGTGTCAATACAGTGATTTTCAGCTTTGATTTCTCTCTGCTGTCACTCACCTGTGTGAACAGACTTTACTCTCACAGATCACAGCCTCTTTTCCAGTATTTTCTTCTAGTGATACAGATATTGGGTGCATGCCTAGATGGGCAGAGAGCAATCCATATTTAAATAAAACATTTATGCAGAATCGTAGGGTCATGAAAAAAGTTCTTATTTTTGCACGTGTTCACAATCACAGTAGCCTGCCAAATATCAATTTACAAAAATACTTTCTTTTTGCTAGAATTATACTCTCTGCCTGCAGGTGGCTCCAAATGATAATGCAAAGACCAAAAGCTGCAGGTGACCTTGATACCCAAACCACATTAAGGAATATACAATTTCAGCTTTGAGCAACTTCATTCTCCATATATCTCGGGCAACAAAACTGGCACAGAATTACTGCCTCAGTCATGGTTTCTGTTGAAAGGATGAGTTTATCACTGTTGTGGCTGCTCTAGCAAATCAGGAGATGAGGTTAATCACTGTTGAGTTGGGTTTTTTTGGAGTGATGGGATGGAGTAATCTGAAAGATGAAAGATGGAGGTAGGGAAGAGAAAAAATAAGCACAGGCTTTTCAAGGAAAGAAATCTAACGTGTCATAAAACTGCAATAATTTAAAGATATAATGTATGGAAACCACTAATGAAAGAATTATTCCCACCTATTCATCTCTGAGTTTAAACCAGATGAGGAATTCCTGGTAATGATCCATGTTAACAACTTTTTCCATTGTTTTCTTATCTTGAACAGAATGAGCCAAAGAGATGAAAAGGCTACTGTGGTTTACTAGAAGCAAAAAGAAAAGCTGTGCTATTTTGCTTTCTGTTAATTGAAAGCAATAATCTTAAATGGTGAACACAGGGCTGCACTGCGTGGCTGCAATGAATCCAACTCTTTGCCATTATACTGCAACATATACCAGCAAAGACTCTGATCTCCCATATCCCAGCTTTATAACAGCACATTTTTATTTTACTCACTACCTCCTGTTTATACTATTGTAGTACAAATAAGAATCAAGCTCTACCAGCTCTGTGATATGGTGAATTCAAACTGTTTTGTTCTCTTCCGAAGAGTACTGAAATGTAATTCAGATTCACTATATCCCAACTATCAGCTCTGTTCCACACACATTTTACAAAACAGAAAGTTGTCTACTCCTTTTTCAGTTGATGATGTTAGTATGCTTCAGAAGTAAAGACAGAGGAGGAAGAGCTAGGTTCACTGAGGAAACTAAATCATGTAATAAATGCATTGAACTTGCTTGCAACAGTCTGAAAAAGAAGCCAATGTTATCATCTTATAGACTAGAACTAATGCTCTTGTACTTTGAAACAATTAAACATTAGTATCATTCCTTCTGGAAAAGAAGAATTCGAAAGGTTTCATCCTGTATGCATCCTTAGCTCTTATATCTTTTAAAAATATGTTCTTAGTATTGAGCAAGGCATACTCATATATGAGCAAGGCATACTCACAAAATTTCTTAAAATAGTCTCAGGGCTTTAAAAAGCCCTGCTTTTATACACCAGCAAGTGTATCACATTTTTATTGAACAGTACACGTTTTACAGTGATGTTTAGGTCAGTTAAACATTGTTAATTACAAATTTATTCTATCTTAAGGCAAAAAAATAAAGCAGAATATTGCCAGTTACTAAAATGTAAAAGCTGTCATTCTCCATGGTCATTTGCTTGATAATAAAATTCACAGATGTGCTCACAGTATTAATATAAAAAAAATTATTCTTGTCTTTATAGCTCCTATTTTCAGTCAATGAGAAAAATTAGAGGTCTGTTATTTCAATAGACTGAAATATAAACTATTCATGTATATTCTTTCATCAGTGTATGCACTTAATTCCCATTATTTTTATTGGCAGTAACACATGACTATTTGAAGGCACAATAAACTCCATAAAGTGTAATTAGTTGCTCAGTTTTGCTAGCATCTTTCTACTCCAGTATTTTTAAATGCCTTCACAAAACTCAAAATTTCTCCCTCTGTGCAGAGGCAAACTAATGCCCAACTTGCTAGAGTAGTGCTGATTGTTAGCTAAAATGGAAACACAGAAATTAGTTTTTTCTCTATTCTCAGCCAAGTTCTGTTTGGCTGACTTTTGTGTAGGTCAGGAACAAACCCTCTGCAATCTGTGCCCCCATGTATTTGACGGAGCAGGACAACAAGATTTCCCTTGATTCCCACTTAAGTAATACGGCTTCTAGAAATAAAGGCACTTGCTCCTGCCCACCTTTAAGTTGCTGGGAGCCTAATCATTAACTGCTTCAGTTGAGATACAAGAAGTTGTTTTTCTCTGTGAGGGCTTATTTAAAGTTACACTGATTTTCTCAGAGTGCATCCTGTAATAGCAAGGGTTCATTACACTCTTCACGTCAAAAAGAATGGGAAATACCTGTTAACAATGACACAGCCTAAGAAATAATTCTGAAAAAATTAATAAATATAGTTTATTATTTATTATTCAAAATGAAAATCTCACTCCCTCTACCAAAGCGAAGTACAGCCAGTTAGAGACCAAGCATAAGCCCTTCCCCTCCCTCTGCTCTCACTTATCCCCTTCCTCAGGGATCAGGGGAATACCTGGAGCTCCCCAGCTGCCATGCAAGCCAACTAATTTTGCAGGCATGCCAGGGAAAGATCCTAAGCCTTCAAGCAGTTTTGGCCTTGTCTAGATCCCCGTCTGGCGGCAGGATCACACAGGTGGGTCAGTCCAATAGCGGGTCTGCCCATCGAAGGCTGGTTGTTAGATGGGCTATGGAGACACCCAACGTGAAAGGGTTAAAGAAAGAACCTGAAGTGGTGTCTCAGCACATGGAGGATTCAGCAAAAGGTATTAAAGTAGTTACTGCCACACTAAATCATGCTGACAATTTTATTTTGTTGGACAGAGAACACAGAGAATATTAAACTATATTGAAATAAAATAGCCATAAACAAATTTTCCACTAATGAAAAGTTCTAGAGGGAGAGGAAAGCATGTGCCTGGAGGGGGAGAGAGAACAGACTCATTATGTTTTAAAAGTGATACAGATAAAGTCTTCACCATAATCTAATAGTGCAACAGAAAATGTTCTTTAAAAATGCTGCAAACTTCAGCTATGTGGGATTTGCCCCACTCCGCTTTAGGCACTTACCAGAGGCACCTAATCCAGCAGCACAGTTGCCTTAGGCTCTCTCTCTTGGAGAGAGACGCCTCCAGACAGCAAAGCGCGCTCTAGATGGAGATCATTGCCACAGCCTGCTCTCACAATGAGAAAAGTGCAGAAGATAGCAGAAAAACTGGTAGAGAAAGCAGAGTAGTTACAGCCTCCTTGCAGAGGAGCAGGAGGAAGGCAGCTAGCTCGACTGCAGTTGTCACCCAGTCAGCTGGGAGCTGCTGGGTTTTCACATTCACTGGAGCGGGGCAATTCAGTAAATGTGCAGCTCAAACTTTTTGTCTCTTTTTTTCACCACAGTCGCCTCCCTCACCCACTCCTCACCACCAGATATGTCCCCATCACACTGAGAAGAACAGAGAAAGCCTGCATGGGGGCTGTGAGGGCATGCGGAGGAGAGGGGGAGTTGGAGGGAACAAAACTCATCTGGGAAAGATGCATGCTACTGTAGCTGAGGAAAGGTAGTTTGGGTGGGAAGCAACCAGTGGGAGAAATAACTCACAAAGCAACAAAGCTGGAAGAGACCTGGAGGTGGCTGTAGTCAGCAGGCTAAGTGCTACAAATCTGAAATAACATTAGCCACCAACATAGGCCTGTGAAGGCTCTGAGCTGCAGAACAGCCAGGCTGGCTCATCAGAGGTCTACTGCTCCTCACCACACTGATCGCTGCTCCAGCTACACACGTAGTGTTCAGCTTCAGGTCCTTAATTAGAATCATAGAATCATAGAATCATTGTGGTTGGAAGAGACCTCAAAGATGATCAAGTCCAACCGTAAATTAGCAACAAGCTATTGACAGTCTGATGAGAGAGCTGACAAAAGCAACAGTGAGTAACATGGGATTTTCAAGGAAATTAAATTAAATTATTAAATTAGATTTGTCTGCCAGGAAATTATTTACGTGGGAGATATAACAATGACCCATGTATTTGAACGGATAAAAGAAAAAATTAAAAATTTAACACCAACAAACAAATAACGCCTTTAGACTGCAGGTACGAGGAAAGAAAACAGAATAAATATTGGAACAGCTTCCTACAGATGTATCTGCTCAGTCTTACCCTGCTGGTTTGTATGTGTTCCCATTGCTGTGCTATCTCATGAGCAGTAACCTCTGGAATAGTCTTCCCAAGCAAATCACAGAATCACAGAATGGTCGGGGTTGGAAGGGACCTCTGGAGATCACCTAGTCCAACCTCCCTGCCAAAGCAGGGTCACCTACAGCAAGTTGCACAGGATTGTGTCCAGGTGGGTTTTGAGTATCTCCAGAGAAGGAGACTCCACAGCCTCTCTGGGCAGCCTGTGCCAGTGCTCTGCCACCCTCAAAGTACACAAATTTTTCCTCACATTCAGCTGGAACTTCCTGAGTTTCAGTTTGTGCCCGTTGCCCCTTAACTTGTCACTGGGCACCAATGAAAGGAGTCTGGCCCCATTCTCTTGACACCTGCCCTTAAGGTATTTATAAACATTGATGAGATCCCCTCTCAGTCTTCTCTTCTCCAGGCTGAACAGACTCAGCTCTTGCAGCCTTTCCTTATCAGGGAGATGCTCCAGTCCCCTCATCATCTTTGTTGCCCTCCGCTGGACTCTCTCCAGTAGTTCCTTGTCTTTCTTGAACTGGGGAGCCCAGAACTGGACATAGAACTCCAGATGTGGCCTCACCATGGCAGAGTAGCGGGGGAGGAGAACCTCCCTCGACCTGCTGCCCACACTCTTCCTCATGCACCCCAAGATACCATTGGCCTTCTTGGCCACGAGGGCACATTGCTGGCTTGGGGGCAACTTGTCCACCCGGACTCCCAGTCTCTGCTGAGCTGCTCTCCAGCAGATCAGCCCCCAGCCTGTACTGGTGCATGGGGTTATTCCTCCCTAGGTGTAGGACCCTACACTTGCCCTTGTTGAACTTCATCAGGTTCCTCTCCGCCCAGCTCCGCCTGTCTAGGTCTCACTGAATGGCCGATGACAGCCATTATCTCACTGTCAAGCATTAAAAAAATGCTACAGGTTGCAAGAACACCATGAGAGTGAAAACCACCAAGACTATTATAAAAAAAGGGCCCAGACCACCTTATGGGCTAGGATTATTAGTATCTAGAGTCATTATACAAAGACTAAGATGACTCCACTCTTAGACACTGGCTGTACCAAAGCAGGCTATAAATAAATGCCAATGATGTTTCTGTTAGAGCACACCGGAGATCTGATTAATTACTTTTGGGCAGAAAAGTGATCCATAGACTCGGTCAATCACTTCTGGGTGGAAATGGTTCTTGCTTTCATCAGTAGGAAGGTGAATGGCAGTGAAAACTCCAAAAATGACACAAAGTAAAATGTAGGATTTAAAGGTGAATTTCACCCTGGCCCTAACTATGGCCCTAACTATAACTCAGTGAAAAATGGGTGCCTTGACTGTCATTTTTGTCTGAGAAAACTCCTTCCTGACTTGCTGAAGTATGTCAGTGCAGGTATTATAGACAGGCAAACATACTAATGGATATGCACTTCTCTGAACAATGTGGTACTAGCAAGGAAAAAAATGAAGAACATACTCAGAAGAGCGGAATGAAGCAATTAAAAGGCCCAACAGAGCTGAACCTCTGAAAATGTGAAGGATAAATACAGAAAGTTTGGACACGACTTCACACTGTGTCTGCAAGCAAGAGGTACGGGCAGAAAGGAAGAGAGATGGTAAGGAACTGAATTTCTAGAAATAATTAGTTCTGAAGCACTTGGTAATTTAAAAGTTGTGAAAGCAAGCTGTCTATGCAACTGTACTACAAAAATTTGAGGCACTCAAGGCACTCCACAGAGAATTGAAATGAATTAACAATACCTTTTCAAAGAAAGATTATAGAGGGAAGAGTGGAAAACAGCAGCATTTCTGCCAATGAGCCAGTCTGGAATCTCTAAGAAGAGACTAGATTGTGTTTGGGATCTGAAACACACATACACAATCACACAAGACCAGTGGAAGTACCGAAATCTACATTTGACAAACTTATTCCAGACAAAAGAAATCAACTAGTCAGACTTAATTTTATGGAGAGTGCTCAGACAGCTGGAAAGGACAACAACTGTAATGTAGATACAGAAAAGAGGATGTAGTTACAGATCTACTCATATGGATTTCTAATAAAGGGTGAAAAATCTGAATATAGGTTCCCTTGTTTTGCTCTAGCTGCTGAAAATGTGGGCACATATATTATTAATGGTTAAGACATACAGGCTGAGTAAATGTTAGACCCCAGGGAAATGGTGAACACCATTCAGATACATGCAAACTCGGCATTAATAATGACTTTTGTGGAATACAAAACTGTTCCAGTATTCACTGCTAACAGCACTGTTAGCAAAATAAATAATTTGCACCCCCAAGTAGGAAAGGGCTTTCTGTAATACTTTCCATACATTTTTTCTTTTTTTTTTTTCCCCCTCAGCAGAGAATAAAAAGGGTTTTGATGAATCCAAAGAAGCCCAAACATCATGAAATATTTGCTTGTCACTGCAAGTATTTAATTGAGCTAAATAATGTCTGGTCCTTATTTTAATTCATACTAATTTCCACTGAAGACTCTACCCCTCTAATCCCACAGCTGGAAGGAGGAGGAGAGCTATAAAATGGGAAAGTCTTTGGCCAGGGTGTTTGATGTTAGACTCCTATTCCTTTACCTTTGCAGCAATAACAGTCCCTTCAGGCTGGTGGACTTCACAATGGGGAGAGAGACACTAGTCAGTAAACTTCCACATCTGTCAGTTCACTGTTCCTTCCTGGAACATCCACTTTATGATTGCACATAGGGAGTCACTGTCTACTCTCTGCCCATCCCAACAACAAACTAGCAAACTACCTAGGGCTGTATATTACAGCCTGGGCTTTCTTTGCCCACAGCTGGTAGCAGAATTTGTCCCTGAAGTCAGTAAGCATACACAGCATTCAGTAATTTGGTGGGTGCATGCAGGTGTCTCTGCCTAGAAGTTTGATGCCAATAATGAAGGGGAGAAATAGATTTTGTTTACTAACCTTCTGCCTGAATGACCATAATTTTTTGCTTCAGATCAATTGAGGGATTTACAAGACACAACCTTGGCTCCTGCTTCTGAGTCATGCAGACTCCATTCTGGTTTACAACCATCCAGTTTCGGTCATACAACAAACCCTGGTTTCCCACTGGCCATTCTGTTACCTGGGAAAACATCAGGAGGGGATAAAAAGGTTTAGGAAATGTTAGCTGCATTAATAGATTCATGCTGAAAAGAAAAGAGAGGGAAAAGAAACCATTAATGAAATTCTTTGAAATCAGGAAAACTTGTGAAAGCTGATATCAGCCTTTAATAAGAGAAACCTTAATTGCAAATCAAAGATAAAGATATCACTGCATAAAACTGACAAAACAAAATGGAGTTCCTATAATTTGTTACATATTATCATACACTTTGATTTAACAGAGATACAAGAATAGAGTAAACAACCTCTGAAACCTGTTTTCAGTTTTATACTCATCCATTTTTAGGACATCTCCCCTCAACAATTTTCTTTTAATTTACAAATCATGGACATTTTATGGGAGGTGTATGAATTAAGGTAAAACCAAACAAAAAGCAAGAAAAATGTGATATTCAAAATTCTGAAAAACCTTATTTTTCATAAAACTGGAACCACTTTACCAATGAATCCATTTGAGAAAATCTCCACCACTGAGGCTTCTGGTTTAGCTAGAAGCATAATAGTTTCTCCAGATCCCCTTACAACAAAACAATTGTCTTCTTTGCTATCTGTTCTTCTGTTACTTCTATAACACTCTTTACATTCAATAGCCTATACAAGCATATTGTCCTTGCTTTCATGTACATTTTTCTGGTGAAAAGAACATCTGTTACTGATGCTACACAGATGGTAATCTTGAAATCCAAAACCAGAGCAATTTTAGTAATGCCTTTGGGTGATATTAATAACTGCTTTCTCCTTCAGAATGTTAAAATATTAATACTATTCTTTTAACATAAAGCTGGGCATTTAAACATATTGCTTCAGCTCATGTATGCTTTCTAGTCACAGTTGAATATGGAGAAAAGTTAACTACAGCTGAACTTTGTTGAATTCTTGTAGAAAAGCTTAACGCAGCTCACATGAATTAACTGGCAAAAGACTTTAGCCAAAAGTATTGGCAAAAAGAAGCTATGTTAAGCACAGCCTGATTCTCTGAAGAAAAGCATGGCTGGAAGCACTGGTTAGATTAATTAAAAATCACATTTTTGTTCAGCATGCACTCTATCCAAAATCCCACAGAACCCACAATATCCCATTCTTATAAACTTTTCCAGGTTTTACAGGAGCCTGCAGCAGTAGCTTGACACTGACAGCCTGACTACAGAAAGCTGAGGGCAGGCACTCTGGAACTGACAACTTAAAGCATTAAAGCTGAACTCTAAATAATTTGGCCACAGTGCTATCAACTGTATTGAATACAGAAAATACATGGAAAAAATTTAAAGAGAAGAAATGTATTTTATCAACCTATTTTATTTGTAATATTCTTTGGCAGTTTTGTAAGTGAGCATGGGTGAAAAATTCGGTCAAAAATGGAAACTTTAGGTCTGACTGTCATTGGAAACCCTGTTGTCCAAGCGCCTCAAACTATCAGAACCTAAATGATGTGAACCTTTGCTCTGTCTTTTTAGGAGGGAAATCATAGTCCAAAGATTGCAGTATTAGCTGAAGAACAGACTTTTGTTCTTGCTGGGAATTATTCTTTGGAGAGGCCAGTATTTTTCAGTTATCCTGTAAAATTAGATTACAAAATGCATTTGAACAGCTGGTGATCATCTGAGAGCTGCAAGAATTTCCTGCTAACAATCTCCCTTCCAAAACAGAAGATCACTAATCGGTAACACATCCTCCCATGGATCCAACAGAACTTTACAGGATTTGCAAGATATAAAGAGCAGAATAAACTAAAAGAGCAGAAAAATAGAAAAAGAGCACAAAGATTCCCAGCTCTCTATTGTAACATTCAGTTGTTTTGGTTCCACTTCAGGACAGCAATCTTATTCAGGAAAGAGATTAAGTGTTTGCTTACCCTTCACTGAAGGCAAGAGGTTTAACAAGCAAAACAAAACATTCTCTCTTTAATCAGAGCTTCAGCTAATTCTTACACGCTGATAGGCATTGTGAGGAAAGCGAGCCAACTAGGTAGCAGATATATGGAAATAATCAACACCTTCCAACCAAAATACCTCTGGTAGGTCCAAAATAATGGCAACTAACTCCATGCTCCGCTCCGAGATGCAACACATGACTATAGGTCCTCAGCCCATTTTTCCCCTTCCTCTGGGTACTTGCCATTGTAGTAAGTCATACATACATGGGCCCTGCAGTGAGTCCCTGTCCTCTCATGGATGTCCCCCGTACATTGCCAAGTGCCCTACCTCCTCTCCACTTCTCAACTTCCTCTATTGCACACCTTGCTATGACTCAATAAATAAAGTTACGACAACAAAATAACTGTGTACCCTGACCTGGACAGAGAGTCACAGACGATCATGAAACAGGCAGAGCTGGTTTGTTGCTAGTATTGATAGTGGAGATGAGCATGGAAGAACACATACATCTCTATTCTTAGTAATTAGGCTCGTGACCTGTGCAGACCATTTCCCGCCATTATTTCAAAGAGGCTGAAGGGTTTGTGAAATAATTACAAGCAACTGAATAGAGTAGTTCAAGCAGAGTCTGCCTGCTCTGTTTTCATCTGAGACATGGAAGGAGTGACTCAATTTGGCTCCCTCGGATTATGTCTGAGATGTCTGCCCAAGGCTAGCAGTGAAAGAGGCAATCCACATCCCAGTAGACCAGCAGCAGGAGGTCAGGCAGGGCACTCAAATGTCACTAAATAACTATATTCAGGCAACCAATACAGTGAAGTAAAGCAACTAATGAAGCTTACTGTGAAGTAAAAGAAAACAGGTTAGCATACATCGCAGTAAGCAATGCTGCATTACATAGCATCTAAATTAATTCCCTGAAGTTGTCTGACCATCTCTGACTACTGAGAGAAACTGGAATGGGGAGGACAGAAAGAAGGCAGGGACACCATCATTTTACTGATAGATGCTAGCATACACCTTCATTCCTAGCATGGCAGGTGGGCTAATCATCCAACCTAAGGTCTTCTTTACTTGTTGTAAGTAAGGATTATTGCATAGTACAGCCAGTACATGGTATTGTCCTGTCTGCTTTGGTCCATTTTTCTTCTTTTAATGTAAAAACATCCATTGCAAGAATTTTCTTTAAAGCATTTTGGGCTGCATTTCTCCATAGTTCACAGTAATGTCATTGTGAAGGCTAACACAATTTTTGAACACATTAAAGGAATCACTGAATAGGTTTTAAATTATGTAAGTTTAAAAATGTTAGTGATCTTACGTATAATTTATCCACTGATCACTAGGAATTTGCATTGTATTTTAAATTAAAAGCTAATTTGTTTTCTGTGTTGAGATGCAATTTTTATAGTCTGAAATCTACTGCAAGAATAATAAAGTTATTAATGTTTAAAGTCTTAACCTTTTTCACTGGGCACATTGCATTATGTAATTATGCAAAATTCATTGACATGAGAGATGTTCGTGTTTAAAAATGCATGTTTAAACACATTTTTATGTTGGAAAAGAAGAATAAAGTGGTCTGGGATACTCCTCTTCTCTGCTTCTCCTGATTTAATAAAATAATTGTAAGGAAAAGAAAAGAAATTGAGTTACAATATTCTGCCCTCTGCTTCCTGTGCCATGTGTACAAACCCCATGGAACAACACTGAACAGAGACCATCCCACAGCCAGGGACACTATAAAATGCTGTAGGAACTAATCAACCTGCAGTGAGCCGATGATCTTCATGCCAACCTTCATCCTCCCAGCTGTCAAAGCACTCTGTACTCTCATTTTCTCTGGAGGTCAAGCACCTCCCATAGAACAGAGAAATCAGTTCAGGAGAGGAGGAGATTATGTGACTCTAAAGAGGAGATCAAACAGCTGTGAGTTTGTACTCAAATCCTCATCGAGTTTGTCCTCCTGCAACCAGTAAGTCAGCGGGCAGGTTTCACTGGCAGACGGGCCGGGTCCTGCACACACAGTTAGCTGGAATTTTCCACTGCACATATTATTTTAGGCAAACACAAGCAATCAGGTACTCACAATAAAGCCTGTTTACTACACGTACTAAAGGTCTGACCTCCCATACCAGCTGGAGGCCTGCACATGAACTTACAAATCTATGAGATTCTGATCTCAAGTATCCAAGTATCATAAGATGAATGAATTTATTGCTGCTCAGTATCTAAACCACTTTCACCTTTTCACATCAGCTAACTTAGATCTACCCTATAACTGATAAAAATGGGGATCAAATTTTTAATTGGGAAAATACTTTTCTAAATTTCCGACAACTACAAAGCATATAAAGGTATTTTGGATTTAAAACATTAAACTGAATTTCAGTTCTTTGATTCCAACCGAAGACCAAGGAAACTACAAGCTACACGATTATTACTTCAGAAGTTTATGAGTTTACTAAAGTAAGGATATAATATAACGTTAAGTGTGAAGTCTGTATGACAAAGACCACTACGAGAATGGCAAAGGAATAATTTTCTACAGGATTCAGTCATTTCATGTTAAAGCCTAGAGATGCTGGTATAATCAATATTTTAGAAGGCAAAATGATTTTCAGGGCTTGATTCCATTTAATTGTGGTAAGTTTTCTCTAGCATGTCTTGCTTCAAACTCTAGTGCATGTGGTATAGGTTATTTACCAGTTTCAAGGAGGTACAGGCTGAAGTTGCAGAAATGACATACACGGGTTTATGGAGGTTGGTGCACTCTGCAGTTAGTGACGGTGTGGGTTCCAGCAGCGATAGCTTTCTATTCTCCTCTTACCTACTGGGAAGAGACCAAGCCACTGCCTGATTTAGAACAGGATTAACTGAGTTTTAAAGCTCACTACAAATGGTGGGCTGTAAGTTACCATTTTTACCTCTTCTATAGGCAGACAATGAGATTGACAGATCTTTCACAGGCTGGTTATAAATGTACACCAGGTCTAGAAGTGCCACTCAGACTTTTGGGAAGAAATAAATGAAGAATGCCTGGTGGACAGGACAAAGATCACAAAAGCAAACACATTTTCTTTGAGGATTTACTTCAATATAGAAAATCATGAAAATCAAAATACTTTTTCGACTTCATCTCCTGGCCTGCTCTCTTTATGCGTTGAAAACCCTTTGTCAGTGTATCTATTAGGTCAACTTCTGCTGTTCTTTCACATGTAGTCATGCATCTTCTATGAACCAAGTGGAAATGAATAAAAAATGCTCTTTGAGAAGCGCAAGAGAAGAACTAAATGCTACTTATAGTGAACTTTCAGTCCCTTCCAATACCACATACTAAATCCAGTACATATTTAATTGTATATTACTCTCTGGCAAAACAGGCTCTGACAGTGCTTAGCTTACTGATGTTTTGCTATCAAAAAAATATCAAAACAGACTTCAAAAATTACCCTAGGCATGCAAACTAAACCTCATAATCTAGTTGCAGTTTTAATAACTATTTTTAAAGTATTCAAATCAGCTAGTGTTAGCTGTGTAATCCAAGTTGCCTTGGATTCCTCTTGTAGTCAACGGAAAAAGAAAGAAATATCCATGAACATTTTTCTTACTGCAGATGCCCATTTTTCAATAAACTGATTTAGCAGGTATCCATCTCTCACTGCTAACAGAATAATATCTAACTTTAGAGGGGTAAGTTCAGGTAAGATGAACCCTGCTTTCACGCTGGGACCATTAACACATGCCTGGCACAAGAAACATGCATGAGGCACGGGGATTTTCCCCCTCCATCTAGAATTGCAGTTCTGTCTGCCAGGGAATACCAGGTTTGTATGAATTTATCACCCTAGAGCCGTTTCCCCTCACAGAGCTTGAAGAGAAGAAACCTGGCTCAGCTTGTGGGGAAACATAAGCTTGCTTTCATTCTGAGGTACGTCTTACCTGCTCCTGGGCACAATCACTTCAAAGCCTTCCTAGCACTGAATGTTGTGGTATGTATCTCACAACACCAGCATGCACGTTAAAAATAGAATTTAACCCCAAAGGGGCCTGAATACTGCTACAACGTATTTCAGCAGCTTCTGTAATACAGCTGTAATAACTGCAACACTTAAACAAATAAAGGTTAAAACATTTTCACATGAAATGTGGGATTACTTTGATTTTCTAAACAGTTTGATTTAGTGGGAGGTTAATAAGGGGTGGAAATTGTTTGTTCAGGTCTCATTTAATGCTCAAGACTGTGCCTCTGAATTAAAGACCTCATAAGCCAAACCAAATTTAATACAGATGTTTTGTTGATCATTTAACAGCGTTTGCCTTAATTCCCCATCCTGTTTTTGATTAAGAAAAAAAAATAATAAATTATGATCAAATCAGCTGAGAAGCCATATTTTAAATGCAGGTGATTTGTCACTGGATTTGACCCCAATTTTCACTCAGACGTGAGACAGTGACCTAGACCAGTAGGCTTTCATAGAGAAAGTTATACCATTATTGACATTCATTAAACCACTTCCGAGTACGGTACTAAGCAGAGTCACATTCTAGGTCACGTGTGGGCCATACACCTATTTCATCATGCATTATTTAAAAAAAAAGTCACAGCTAAGGTGACGATATTATTAACTTGGTAAAAAAGCAATTAAAATCTTCAAAGAGTGAACTTTCAAATACTGCTGCAACACTTAAATGTCATATTTCTGTTGCAAATGTATTTTTAATGATAACATTTCTTTGTAATGTAAATCATCCTCCTCTCAATTATAACATGTTAATCAAGTTATTTCTCAGTTGCTGCCTACCCATCAATGCCTACAAGTCCATCGCATGTCATTCTGTAAAAGCATACTAATTACTTGATTATATTTTAGGCAAGTTTTGCAAATCTAACTATTTTCTTCAAGACTGCATATTATGTGCAGATTCGTGGGTTGTGGGGGAGGGGAGAGCAGAAGACATATTTGCATCCTGTAACTTCAGCCTAATTGAAAATCCTTCAAAGTACCTTAGCATGCAGGACTTGATCCTAGAAATTGGAGAAAAGGAAAAATGAGTACCCGCACGCTGCTTCCTAATATCTCATGCACATGCTATTCCTGGTTAACATGTCTGATGGGGGTAAGGAAAAACACAAGGTTGAGATGAATATTTACGAATGATTCAAAGTGCATACCTCAAATGCAGAGCAGGATTTGATTGGGTAGAGGTAAATGTTGGTGACAGTGATGGGCTTGCCACCTCTTCTGCATGTTGGTACTGGAGTCTCAGAAACAGCAGCCCTTATGCTTTCCGCCTCAGCCTCCAGTGGCTGCCAGTTGACAGTTGCCTTTGTTGCAAACGAATTATTCCCAAGTTCTCTGTCTGAGATGTGCGGTATTGGAGACAATTTATCTCCATTGTTAAAGGAAGGGTGGTCATCTGGGACAGGCTCTGTCGTCAGGTTTGAAACAGAGGACTGGAAGGGAATCGCAGTGTTTGATTTGGAGAGTCTGGTGGCTATGATGAATTTCAAAAAAGTCTGTGCATCTTCAAAAGAAGACATGTAGCCAAAGGATATTCTCACAGAACCAGTGGGACGTCCATCAACTAGGTCTATATCATCTCCACAGACATGGCCAGCCTAGTTTGAAATAGGAAGAAAGCCAGAGGGTTATAATGACAGATTTTGCATTATTTCCCTCTAATCTTACACAATTCTTAAGTCTCTTAATTGTAACCTGAAAAACTGTTTGCAAAAATACAAAGTTAACTCATGAATACAAAGAAAAAATGGAGAAAAGTAATAAGATAGTTAGGGCTTACTTACTCAAACTAGGAAGAAGATCATTTTGAGATGCTTGTCCTATTCTCCCCTAAGGCAAGCAAGACTTCTCAAAGACATGACAAGAATCACAAAAAGGTTGTATGTCCCAGGATGGCCTGTTAACTAGGGCAGTCTTCAGGTATATTCCAGTCTCATCTGCATAGTTGTCTAGGACTTAAACTAGTATATTATATTCAGATAAGTGAACAAACCATGAGACTGCTGAATTTACTGGGGCAGTTTTCTTGATATTTGCTCTCAGAACAGTTCCATTTTATACTGTCAGTGGCTTATTCATGGCTTGTGTCAAATAGTCCAGTGGATAGCTATACAGCTGAGAACTGTTCTGGGATATTAGCAAAGCAGAGACTTGAATCTAGAACTCCCAACATCCAAAGTGACTTCCCTCATCATTGAGATATGCAATAAATCTGTCTTGCTGATCCAGTCAACATATTGCTTTCAGAATGAAGGGAACTAGCTTTCACTCTAGCACTTCCTCCTTTGAAGAAGACAGGTTTCCACTCATGAAAAATTTTTGTTGAAAAATCCCTCAAATACCCTAATAGTGACCTCCACGTAGATACCCCTCTATTTGATATGTCTTTCCTACAGCACTCTCTGGATAACTCTCCCTTAGAGCAGAAGTTTCTCCTTCAGTAAGTAGGTCAGTGAAGGCTGCTGCTGACCTCCAGTGAGACAAGCTGGACATCCTCTTTGTTCACCCATCTAACATTAGCTCACCAATGGACACAAGATTTAGTCCTACATCAGCGTCCATATTCCTGTAAGCACAGCAGCTGGGGTTTTTTTCCTCAGAATTTCATTTATTTACACATTTCTGTTACATAAAAATGGAAGTGTGAATAGTTTATTTACATAAAGGATTTTTTAAGCAAGAAATGTCACAGTTCAATGAACACAGACGCCATTTATGCAAAGAGAAATTAAAAAAAAACCCTCTATGTCAAAGCATGCAATACATTTGTAAATATTTTAATGCAGTGTGATGTAGTTTTTATCCTTGACAACAGAGCAGAAGCTACATTTGAAAAATTAGGTTGCATTTGTTAATACACATGTAACCCTTCTGCCAAGTATTGATTGATTGACTGAGGAGAGAGGTTCCTGCTGTGCAAATAAGAAAACAAGTTCCTATGTAACATCCTAAGAAAATTAACCACACTTCTCCAGGGACCCTTAAGGACAGACAGTCCTCCCTCACAGGCATTTTATACGTGGAAATCTTCATCAGGGAAGGAAGAATACAGTCAGCACCCTGGGAAAAGGTGAAACCAAAGTATATGTGCAAATAATGTGATAAAAGATGCCTTCCCCCACACAGTAATGTTGTCAATAACTCATCCAGATCCTTCTCAAAGGACTGATGGGAATGGAATGTCCCAAAATAATGACTGCTTGACTGCACCACCTCATCATACAACTTTTGGTGGATTGTCCCTTTATAAGCTTGAGTTTGGCCTATCCTCATTTAAATGATACAGACCTTTAAGAGGCCACCCACTCCTTAGCAAAATCCTCCTTATATAGGGAGATCCAAGGGTGTTGTAGCTGGTCATATGGGATTTTGCACTTCAGCAGAAGGGTAGACCTTTTTTTCCTTTCTCAGAGGAGAGAGCTTCCATGGTAAATCAAAGCACTATTTTGCCAAAGAAGGTATTAAAGAGCTCTCCCCCTTTAAGAACTTGTGCTATCAGTCTTGCATGTAAATGTGTTTGCAAAAGTTATCTAAACGTCTCTGTGAAATTATAAGGCAGCTGTAATATCAAAACAGCCATTATAATTTTTTATTTTTTGAAGAATATCATTAATAAAAATTTGGAATGTTCTTCATTAATTGACTGTATTTCAAACTCTGACAAATATGCAGACATGAAGCTTCCCCCACTTCATTGTAATACATCCTGATACACATCTTTTAATGACAATTTATGGAAAATATTAGTCATCTAGAAAACAGTCTTTACATTCATGTTCTAACAATCTAACTCACCAGTAACCTAGGTAGATGTCATCTAAATTTACTTTGCTCTCTGAGATTCACTGTGTATTTTCCTTTATTGTTTCTTGCCCAATTTGTGTATGCCTTTTAAACTGTAACATCCAACAGCAATAGGTCTATAACACTTGAATGTTATTAAGTACAATTAAGGATACTTAAGGAACAACATGAGATGTATTGTCCAGGAACTTCTGTTCTGCAGAAAGTCTGGATTCCATGTAATTCCAAATCCGAACAAGAGGCCACAATTTCATATTTTCCAATGAAATAAAAATAAGCAACACATACTGCTTTGGGTCCATCAGATGACTTTGTTTCAACACCCTATTTCAATGAACTGAATTTCAATTAATTTAGTTCTTTAACATGGTGTCCTGGTTTTGGCTGGGATAGAGTTAATTTTCTTCCTACTAACTGGTACAGTGCTGTGTTTTGGATTCAGGATGAAAATAAAGTTGATAACACACTGATGTTTTAGTTGTTGCTGCGCAGTACTCAACCCCAAGTCAAGGACTTTTCAGTTTCAGAGGAGGTGCACAAGGAGCTGGGAGGGAGCACAGCCAGGCCAGCTGACCTGAACTAGCCAAAGGGATATTCCATACCACAGAATGTCATGCCCAGTATATAAACTGGGAAGAGTTGGCCAGGAGATGCCAGTCGCTGCTCAGGGGTGGGCTGGGCATCAGTCAGCAGGTGGTGAGCAATTGTATTGTGCATCACTTGTCTTTCTTTTTGTTATCTCGCTTTTCATTACTACTACTACTACTATTATTATTACTATTAGTAGTAGCACAATTTATTTTATTTCAATTATTAACCTATACTTATTTCAACCCATGGTTTTTACCTTTTTCCCAATTCTCTTCCCCATCCCATTGTGGGAGCGGGGAGGAGTGAGCGAGAGGCTGCGTGGTACTTAGTTGCCAGCTGGGATTAAACCACGACACATGGCATTTGAGTTGAAAGGTCAGAGAAAGCAAATCAAATTTCATTCTTAAAGTCGCAGAGATTCAAAACCACAGGACACGATACACCTACTTTAGCTTTTAACTACTTAGGGTTTTTTTTGATAGAGCCAGATTTTCTTCTCCCCTTCAAACCTCTCATCTTTAGGAAATTCAAAACTGATAGCCAGAAGATGTCTTCTGGGTCACTGAATCTAGGTGTTTTCCATGGGCAATATATCATGTAATCTCATTCAGAAACTAACCTGCAGGTTCCTTTGGATGTCTTCATTGCTTATACCCAAATACATCTGGCAGGCTCCTGTGTTACAGAAGCAACCTGTGCGGACGTGTATGTTGTAGAGGCTGGCCATCTTGTCCACCTTCACAAAACAGCAGGAGATAAGACATAGGGGAAGAACAAAAAATAGACATTTTAAAGTTGTGGTCAACAAGATACAATGTTTTAAAGGTACAAATCAATTGGAGGTAAATTACCTCTCTAAATTATTAACAACTTACTGTAGCTTTTAGCATTCCCATACACATTTAGGATTTTTCAGCCTTTCAGTTGAGAAAAAACAGTGGTGGAAGCAGAAATGCTTACCTTGGCATTGAGAGAGAGTGCACACAACACACACACACACAGAGAGCGTATCAGGTCAGGTCTTGATCCTGTTAATGCTGGTACATGTGCTTAATTTTAAACCTGTGGACAGGTTCATTCACACCAGTAGTGCTAATTACAGGCCTGCAGTCAAGTGTCATTCAGTGTCTTGACAGAACCATCACCTACAACTGCCTCTGCAGAGACTGAAGAGAGGCCTGGGGCAGCTCTTCAGTTAGCTAAAGAAAATGTTCTCCAAGGATCTGAAACTGCAAGAGCTCATTACAGAAACTGAGTGTATCTGGGATTTTGGCACACAAGTGCTAGAAGAATCGGCCCCCCAGTAAGCAATAACATCTGACAAGGGAGGGACTAAACTGGAATACCTCCTTGAGTCTTCCACATACAAACACCCAGTCTACCAAGCCCCTGGTGTACTTTTTCCTTACACTGTGCTGTTCTGTGTTACACCATTACTTTATTGTCCATTAAATAATGAATGGGCAGGTATACAATACTTGATGACAAACTGGCATGAATAAATTCTGCGAAGGAATGAAAAAGTTGTGCAACGAGAACAGAAGCATATATCTATATGTGCCTCGGAAGGAGACGCATATATGTGTGCACAGGGAGGATGGCACTGGCAGGATGACACTGCAGAGAAGAGATACAGATTGTCAGGGTTTCATAGCGCAGCTGAGAAACAACGGAAGCACACCATGGGGATCCTCTTAGCACAGCTAAGAAACCGTGGAAGCACACTGCAGGGATCTGAAAACGCTTTATGTTGATTTCAAAAAGCAACAACAGCAGCTGGTAAGGTTAGCTGAGCAGGTATAGCTACTGCCAGTTATTTCTTTGACAACAAATGATGAACATTTCTGGTCAAGACTGGGAGAAACAACTGTCAAATGGTCAGAAAGATAGCATGAGACCTGGCACATCCTCTCTCTACCACGGACTTCCATAACAGCCTTGCACAAGCTGCATTAATCTCTCTGTGCTGCTTCTCCTCTCCTGCAAAACGGCAAGCTGAGAGCCCTGAGATTAACCATGCTGCAGGGTGAGAGGCCCCTGCCACGCCAGAGACACAATCGTCCTCGCAGGGAGCTCAGGCTCAGCTACACACACAGCCACGGCTCAGCCTAAAGGTCAGGAATGGAAGTGTCGACCATCTCAAAGCAACCATTTTCCCACCTGTGAGCTCATGCTTTACCTGCCTGAGGTACCAATGTCAACAGTCAACCTAGCTTTTCTAGCTGGTTTAATCTTTATTGGCTTTTATTATTTTTAACATAAATTCTTTTTGTATAGGATAATAGTCCAATTTATATAGCAAATACTTCCTGGTATAATTCAGCCTATCTTTTGTCTCCTGTCTTCTGACATCATCAATCTTCTGATGTCAGCCTATCTTCTGACATCTCTTAGCTTAACTGTGTGAGGTACCAAGCACCTTTAACTTCACTATCTCAGCAGCTTGAAAAACCAAGCCTTCTGCTAGAACTTACTCCAGGCTGAAATAACTCAATCTAAGTACTGTTTAGCTCTGTTAAAAGCAGTTCAAACAGCATTCAAAATTGACTTCTTTTTTTCATGAAGGCACTCTGCACAAAAATGTGCTGTATACACAGAAACAATCCTACATCATTAGAGTGCACAAGTTCTCAAGTTCACACTGAAATATGTTCTGTGTCACTAGTTCAGTTCAAATAGTTTGGCTCTCAAATGGAGATACAATCAAAATAACTCCCTATCTCCAGACTTGGAAAGCAGAGAATAGAATCAGTCCCGAGATCCCTATTCATGATTAATGCCTTGGAGAATATCTTGTGTTCAAAGCATTTTTCTCAAATCAAAGTTATAGTAAAAGGCATCTGTTGAGAAAGACTGTTGTGATGTCATTAGCTTTGTTTTGTCAGAAGACTTCAATCTGGGAACAGTGACATTTTCTTGACTTCTTTTTTCATTTAGATGAGAAAAGTTGTCATCCTGGCATAACATGTTTTGTCATGGTGCTAGTGACTCGTGGGTGGATCTATCGTTCTGTTAATGATGACAAGCAAGGCAAAAATCATGACAGATACTTCGCTACTGAATTGGTACACTGTTTGGGCTTATTTGCTCAGTATGCAAAAAGCTTTAAAAAATACAATCTTTTTATTATTATTACTTTTTGAAGAGACGTTGCTGGGGCAGCCTTGCTTATCTAAGTGTATGTAGTGTAATGAAATTTCCATGACACAACTTCAAGGAATTGCTAACAAGAATTTTTAAAAAATCTTTTAAATTTTATCAAATAAATTATCACTGTTCTTTAATGAACAGTAATTTCATTCTAGCCACGCAACCCAATACTCTTCTCCAGTAATACTTTTAAATGTGATATATATTAATCTGTACAGTGGACAAGGTTTATTCATACATAAAAACAGATGAACATTAGAGTAATATAAGAAATTATTGCTCAGGAGAACAAAGGTAAGTTATAGTATTATAAGTTAGTATTAATCAAACTCTGTTATCACCAATGTGATAATGCACACAGGTCTTGGGAATGTGATGCACATTTTTCATTGCAAACAATGACACCATGTAAAGAATCAGTAAGGGCAGCACCGTCCCTTGAATGCATGCTTGACTTTCCCTTGGACATATGCTTCAATTTCTTCTTGTTTAGTGTCACCCTAGAAATACGCTACTTGGGGAGTTAATTTAATCTCTCTCTGCAGTGCTACCACATAGCAAAACAAATAGAACATAAAACATCTGTTACAGTTATTTCAATGAAGAAAAGCTTATTTAAATATAGCACATCTTTAAAATTGCCATAAGGAGCAATAAAGGCTATTGAGCTCAGGGTTATGAAATACAGAATGCCGCTTGCAGCTCTGTCTGTAACAGCAGCAGCTGACTTTTGGGAGCCAGGAATATGTTCATCAATGAAGGCACAGAAGCATGAATGGTACTGATGGTAAGTACACAGCTTAATGTACTCAGATTGTCAGTTTTGGTGATTCCCTGTGTCTGATATTTGGAACTATTGTGCCTTGGTCTTTCAGAGCTTAAAGACTACAATTAAACTGCAAAACATATGCAGAAATCTTGCAGAATTTTTAATGATTTCAGTCATGAGGACACGGTAATTAAGCCGTCACGGCATCTTAGAGTCCCTTCTGTCCCTCAGAGCCCCTTGGCATTCATTACTATTTCTGAAGCTCTTTACTGTGGGCCAGGCCCTGTAGATTGCTTTACACCCCAACATTTCTGATGTCAGATCATCTTGATTTTTGAAAGGAAAAGGTGCTTTTCACACTTCCAGGCTGTGGTCTTCAAATTTAATAAACACATATGAATGAAGTTCATCTGTAGTTGGTTGACCTTGGCTGGATGCCAGGTGCCCACCAAAGCCACTTTATCACTCCCCTCCTCAGCCAGACAGGGAAGAGAAAATATAATGAAAGGCTCGTGGGTCAAGATAAGGACAGGGAGAGATCACTCACCAATTACCATCAATGGCAAAGCAGACTCAACTTGGGGAAACTACTTTAATTTATTACCAATCAAATCAGA